TAGTTGGCAAGTTATCGCGCGCGTGCACGTCATCCCTTCGACTACTGATCGTACGTTAAGTGCATAATGGATGGCAATTTCGTGCAGCTCTTGCTCGAAACGACCACGTAAAGAGAGAGATTCCTGAAACTAAAACGTACACGATATCCAACTATCTCTTTCCCTCTAGAATTAAGGATCGATTTTGATTCCTCTAAATAGTCCGAGTTTACACACATACACATACACCTTAAATCGTACATGCAACTCCAGCTTCCGTTTGCAATCTTCTGATCAAATTACTACTAGTCGACAATATATAAATGATAGTATTCCAATTCCACAATAAAAACAGGATTATGAAATGTAAATTTGTATCTTCATTTATGAATCTTTTCAGGTGCATATAATATTCCGAATATTCAAAATTACACTTCTTCAAGGATATAAAAAATTTGTAAAAGGATTATTGTTGAAAATTTTTTTTAAATGCAACAGCAGAAATTTAAAAATTATATATTTTTAACTTTAGAATTTTTTAGAATATAAAAAAAGTATTTTGGCAAATCGACAGCAGAGGCAATGAACGTTAACTTATTGAGATTATCGTTCGCGAAATCGTAAACTTTGGTTATATATATATGTATTTGTGTGTTCCTATTGAGAACTCGAAGTCAGGAAGAATTGTGGTCCAGATCCGACTTGGCCCTTCTCGCTTACGTTTTATTTACAAGTTATATAGTCTCTCATACACTAACAGTTTGGGGGCTTCCTTATTAAAAAAACAGGTTTTTTTTATTTATTCCACCTTTATGGTTCCTAGCACCCGAAACTTTTTCTTAACCAGACACAACCAGTTTAAATTTTTTTTTTTTTTTTTATTTGTCCCTTCTTTGAATAATAATTCGATATTTAAATTACAAATGTCGCTTCTTATAAAAGCATCCATTTGTTAAAAGTCCGCAAATAAATGTATATCACGTTCCTTAGAAAAATGGGTCAAAATGTGAATTTTTCTTTTTTTTTTTGAAATGTTTACAATTGTGTTAAAATTTAAGAACAACTTTAGCGTTTTTCTCAAAAAAAATAAACTCTATTGAAAAAACAGAAGTTAGAAATTTTTTTTTCTCAAAATACCATTTTTGAGATAATATATATATATATATCATCTCACATTATAAAAATGTAAAAAATTGCTTTTAACTTCATTTTATTACTATATAGAAGAACGTCTATTTTTTTCTCCCCTTTTCTCCTCCACTTGTTATTAACTCCCACATCAATAATTCTGCTATAAACTGGAAAGAGGAAGTGCCTTGTTGCGTAGATATATATCCAAGAGAACCCACGTGTTTTTCATTCTTCAATACGCGCGGCATTCCCCTGCGTACACGCACCTCTTGCTGAAGAATGTAACTGAGATCGCAAAAGAGAATTGAAAAGAGAAAGAAGAAGAAGAAGAAGATAATTGTCTCTTCTTTCCTCATGATTTCTCGCCGAAAATATAATGTAAAAATTTAATTTTTTACACATACAAGGTATATAACAAGTTGAAGAAAAAAAAACCCCTAATTTTTTAGTTAATTCTCAAGCTTCACGCAATTTTTGAACTAATTTTGCAAATTCCGCGAAATTCGTGATCTAGTTTCGCAGAATCTCCAATTCCGTGATATAATTACGCGAAATGCGCGACATAATTTATCTAATTACGCGAAATTCGTGACCTAATTTATCGAGTTTCCTAATCTAATTACGCGGAAACTGTGACCTAATTTCTTCAATTCCGTGATCTAATTACGCGAAATCCGTCACTTAAATTATCGAATTTTGTGATCTAATTACGCGGAATCCGTAATTTAATTACGCGCAATTCGTGAATTAATTTCTCCAAATTCCGTGATCTAATTACGCAAAATCCGTGACCTAATTTATCCAATTTCGTGATTTAATTACGCGAAATCCGCGACCTAATTTATCTAATTACGCGGAATTCGTGACCTTATTTATCGAGTTTCCTAATCTAATTACGCGGAATCAGTGACATAATTTCGCGCAATCCGTGATCTAATTACGCGAAATCCGTCACTTAAATGATCGAATTTTGTAATTTAATTACGCGCAATTCGTGAATTAATTTCTCCAATTCCGTGATCTAATTACGCGAAATCCGTGACCTAATTTATCCAATTTCGTGATTTAATTACGCGAAATCCGCGACCTAATTTATCTAATTACGCGGAATTCGTGACCTTATTTATCGAGTTTTCTAATCTAATTACGCGGAATCAGTGACATAATTTCGCGCAATCCGTGAACTAATTTCTTCAATTCTGTGATCTAATTACGCGAAATCCGTGACCTAATTTATCGAATTTCGTGATTTAATTACGCGAAATTCGTGACCTAATTTATCGAGTTTCCTGATCTAATTACGCGGAATCAGTGACATAATTTCGCGTAATCCGTGAACTAATTTCTCCAATTCTGTGATCGAATGAAACGTAATCCGTGACCTAATTTCTCCAATTCCGTGATCGAATGAAACGTAATCCGTGACCTAATTTCTCCAATTCCGTGATCTAATTACGCGTAATCCGTAACCTAATTTATCGAATTTCCTGATCTAATTACGCGGAAACAGTGACCTAATTTCTTAAATTCCGTGATCTAATTACGCGAAATCCGTCACTTAAATTATCGAATTTCGTGATTTTAATTACACGGAATTCGTGACCTAATTTATCGAGTTTCCTAATCTAATTACTCGGAATCAGTGACATAATTTCGCGCAATCCGTGAACTAATTTCTCCAATTCTGTGATCGAATGAAACGAAATCGTGATCTAATTTATCGAATTTCGTGATCTAATTACGTGGAATTCGTGACGTAATTTATCGAATTTCCTGATCTAATTACGCGGAATCAGTGACCTAATTTCTTCAATTCCGTGATCTAATTACGCGGAATCAGTAATTTAATTACGCGCAATACGCAAATTAATTTCTCCAATTCCGTGATATAATTACGTGAAATCCTTGACCTAATTTATCAAATTTCGTGATTTAATTACGCGGAATTCGTGATCTAATTTATCGAATTTTCTAATCTAATTACGCGGAATCAGTGACATAATTTCGCGCAATCCGTGAACTAATTTCTCCAATCCTGGGGTCGGATTAAACGAAATCCGTGACCTAATTTTGCAAATCCCGTGATCTAAATACGTGAAATCTGTTTCATATTTTCGCGGAATCTGCGATCTAATTTCTCGAAAGAATTAAATTAAAAAACATATTTAAAAAAAACGATTATTTGAGAGAATAGTCGAGAATATTTTCTAGAAAATATCCTTATAGTTGACCATAAATTTTAGAAAATTAAAAAAAAAAAAAATCGAAATTGTTCCCGGCCATTTAAATACTCTGATTTTTTCATATGACTTTTCTTGACTTCCTTGATCGTTAGACACCATGATATATTAAATATATTAGAGGATATCTCAGTAATGAAAGATTCCCTTACAGTTGTGAATTGCAAGCGTAAATAGAAGCTAGTTAGGTACAATATTACCAGGGTTAATATGAAGCAAGTCACGTTTATCTTGAGAAATGTTAGCGCCTCGATGAACGTGGATAATCATAGGATATTATGTTTCTTGAACTTCCTCCAAGAATGTTGTCTGAAAGTGTAACTTACTTTAGAAATGAAGATATTAAAGTCTGAAAGGCAATTTAGTTCGTTCCAAGATATTTTTATATCATGAAATATTTTTTTTTCCATCAATGAAAACGCTTACTAACATCAATTCAAAGAAACATAGTTTCATAAATATAACATTAACATACGTAAATAATAATTCCTAGTTTCAATAACAGATGTAACGGAAAAATTATATATTATATAAATCTAGGTCATAAAAAAAATTGCAATATTTCTGTTAATTGAAATAAAAACTGGTTGTGCATTATAAGAGATAGAATCTTGAAAAATATGAGCTTGTTTCTTCACCTTTTTTTTTTTTTTTTTTTGGAGAATGCGATTTAGTAAAATCTCTTGATCATGTATATTGAGGGAAACTGTTATTCTAACGACACTGTTTTCAGCATGATACTGTATGGAGATATTCCTACCGTGACGATAATAGTTCGAAGAAACACGAGAGCGAAACCCATTTATAAGCCATAATTTAACTAGAGACCTAAACCAACAGCAAACCGGCCCACGACAGAAACGTGCAGGAGGTGCGAAGCGATAAATTCTCATAATTCACTTATGGCGAATTCCAAACTCGACCTAACGAACGAAAGGCAGGAAACGAAGAAGGGACATAAACCAGCTTCTGAATATGGATGCGCTTTTCCAGCTTTGCGTGTAGTAAAACGAGTATACTATATATGCCATTGAAAGTTATACTTTAAGTTGTACATATATGATTTAAACTAGGTCAATCTATTTGCCCTCATTCTAATATTGTTATATTATTTGTTAAATTTTTTAAAAATTATCAAGCCGATGAGATAATAGGGAAAAACACCAATAATAAATATTTTTGTATATAATACAAAAAATAGTAGATTTTACCTTCCAATGGAATTCCCCAAAAATTGCTCCCAAGGGTTGTCAACTCCCTTAATTTTTTTTTTTTTCTACATTATTTATAAACCATTTTTTTAATAGAAGACACACATGGTTATAAGTGAACAATAAATATATGATATTTAAACGATCGATCGAGTCTCCATTTACATGAGCATAAAATTGGCTGTAACAAAATTTTATGGTAAACGATATGGGATTCCAGTTATTCAGGCATATGAGAAGCATCGCAAACCATAAATTTATTGATTCAAAAAACGGAAATTTTCTACGTGGTTTGAGAAAGAAATACGATTATTCGCGCGCTATTGTATATATATATATATATGGTTTCACACGAGATCGCTATCTTCTTTGGAAAATAGCTTATATGATGACTGTTATTGTAAAAATAACATAACACGCCCATATTTGTTTGTTCCAGAAACAATGCTAATGTGGTGGAACCCCCTACTGTTCCAATACACAAAAAGGAACCTCGCGAGAACATTGCCAGAATTGCAAAGCGTTATCTCGATGATAACATGCAGCAGGCGTGGATCAATCCTCGTCTAATATCAATGGTGAGTAAATCCCATATTTTTTTTCTTCTTTTGTCAAAATTAAAAGAGCCTCGGCAAAAAGTGCCCCTTTTTCGTACCTCGAATTTTGAAACTTTTTTTATGCCAAATGGTTACATATGATGACCCAATAATCCCTGCAAAATTTCAAGATGAGCATGTGCCCCCTTTCCGAAATACAGGGGGTCAAAGGGGGCCATGTCCAAAATTAGAATATGCAATATAATCGAATAATAATGTTAAAAAAAATCAGACCAAATGGTTCCCTTAAGATTTTCATCTGCTGATTACGAATCTAAAGTCCGTTTTTAAAAATTCTAAATGGCGGATCCAATATGGCGGACGACATTTTTAAAAATCGATCCAATTGACGTGAAAATCGTTACTCGGGGGTTTTTGGGGTCTCTGATTACGAATGTGATGTCCGTTTTTAAAAATTCAAAATGGCGGATCCAATATGGCGGACGACATTTTTGAAAATCGATCCAATTTACTTAAAACTTGTTACTCGGGGGTTTTTGGGGTCTCTGATTACGAATATGATATCCGTTTTTAAAAATTCAAAATGGCGGATCCAATATGGCGGACGACATTTTTGAAAATCGATCCAATTGACTTGAAAATCGTTACTCGGGGGTTTTTGGGGTAGCTGATTACGAATATGATGTCCGCCATATTGGATCCGCCATTTTGAATTTTTAAAAACGGACATCATATTCGTAATCAGAGACCCCAAAAACCCCTGAGTAACTATTTTCACGTCAATTGGATCGATTTTTAAAAATGTCGTCCGCCATATTGGATCCGCCATTTTGAATTTTGAAAAACGGACTTTAGATTCGTAATCAGCAGACGAAAATCTTAAGGGAACAATTTGGTCTGATTTTTTTTTAACATTATTATTCGATTATATTGCATATTATAATTTTGGACATGGCCCCCTTTGACCCCCTGTATTTCGGAAAGGGGGCACATGCTCATCTTGAAATTTTGCAGGGATTATTGGGTCATCATATGTAACCATTTGGCATAAAAAAAGTTTCAAAATTCGAGGTACGAAAAAGGGGCATTTTTTGCATGGGGCTTGCCGAGGCTCTTTCACTTCACTTTGGTATATTGCAATTTTAATTGAAGATATTTTTTTGTAAGTCAAAATTTTCTCTAACAGAGAGTAAAATGAATATTTTGAAAGGTAAATTTATTAATTGGGTAAATTCGTTCAACTGCACTTTTTTTGGCATTCGAGAGTTGTTGTTATTATATCTTCTCGTTAATTCGACAGAGCAATTGGACTCTCTACCTGGTTTTTCTTAGATCTATATATATATATATATATGCACATGAAAGTTGTAGATTTTTGCACATTATGCAAAATTTAGCTCGACGGTACGCGAAACGAGGGAAATAGTTGCCTCCGGTTGCTCCAAGTTGTTACTATATATATCGTGAGAAATGCACCAAACTCTGAGTGTCTCATTAGAGCCAAGTGGTGGCTGTTACATGATTTAAAATATGCGCCGGTGCCCGTGAGTCGTATTTTTTTTTTTCTTCAAATATTTAGCTGCACAGCAAGCTCCTTTTTTTTTTTATTAAAAAATACAATTATCTCTTCTATATAGAATTTTAATCATTGATATTTTTTTTTTCAAAAACACAGAAAAAACGCTGGATAAATTTTGTTGCGGGTAATTTTAACCAATGCTAATTTACATAGACAGTGGCGCCCTCAACTAGGATAAAATTTGTTGCAGTTAATTCTTATACCGATTTTGGGGTAAAAATTCTACTTTTTTTTTAGTGTGATAATATATCAAAATTCTTTGATAAATATATAAAATTAAAAATAATATAATTTGAAAAATTTTGATGTAATAAATTTAATAATTAAAAATTAGTTTCCAAATGATGAAGGGGAGGGGGGAGGGGAAGTGTATAGGATAATGAAAATATAATAAGAAACTTAAACTAACATTATTATAAGTTTTATGTATGAAACGCGTGCATCATTATCTCAAACTGCAATTACTGTCGGTGGAGTAGATTTCTACCCCCCCTCCCCCCTCCGTTTTAGTAATTGAGAAAGACTGGTTTAAGCTTCGCGTGAACTCATTATTTTATTTCTTTTTTTTAATATATATATTTTTTTTTATTTTTTCTCCTCTTCTTTCTTCACTGTAATTTCTGCCTGTTTCTCACCTCCCTTAATTCTCGAAAGCGTTACATCGATCTTATGTAATAACACTTGGTTGCGTATATGCTGTTTCTGAATATTGCACTTCAAGTTATGATACTGCTGCATTACAAGGTTCTCGATTTACGATCTCACGTTATGCATATAGCTCTATTAATTCGATATCTGAGTTGTCAATAATAGATTATCATTTCGAAATTCGATCGTCAATGCGCAACAACATATATATATATATATATATATATATATATATATATATATATATATATATATATATATATATATATATATAGATGTGTGAAATTATTTTTCTCTTATTCGTAGAGGAAGTATTTTAAATTACCAAATCTAACCTAACTTAACCATTTCTAACCTAAAAATTTGTCGAAATTTCCAATATGAATTTCCGCAAGAGTTTCCAGTGGTAAATTCGCGGGGACTTTTTCACGTGGGTTTAATTTCGTAAATATTTTTTTTATGTAAAGAATTAATTAAATGGGCTTTCATCAAATTGAGCTGTGATGCGATCTTGATAATGAACTTTCTCTCTCCCTGATCGTCACACATATATTTATATATATATATAACCATCGCTCAATTATTAATGATCGGAAAGGTAATAAATATATTGTGTACCCCTAAGGCAATATTAAAACTTATTATCGAGATCTGGTTCCGGGATGTTATTCTCTTTTGGTTTATAGGGTATACATATGAAATCCGGGTTGGTAATCGAGACAAAAAAAAGTATATGCTGATATAATTGCAACTCGAATATATATAAGTAAATCTTTTTTTTTCTAATATATCGAAGTTAATTATACGGTTCAGAAAACGAAGCTAATTAACAAAGTGAAAATGATTTTATTAGGAAATATTACATCTCGCATTTTAAATATATAGTTTTTGCACAGTTATTAAGTGTTCACCTTTTTTGTTTTATTTTTAACTGGACGAAAACTATATAACGTGATAATTGAACACGATTATAAAATATGCTACGATGCATAATTTAATACTCAATCAACTCTGTTACTCTAAAAAGGAAATGAAGAGTTTCCGTTTTAATTGGACAATTTTTAAGACAACTAAAATTTTTTATCTAAAATCATAACACATAATATTATCAATTGAATTCATTTCATAATATTAAAACCGTTAATTTTAATTATTGAATATTAAATTTTAATTAAATAATATTAATAAACAATAAAAAATACAATTGTAAATATATGGGACGTTCCACGTCAAACGAAACAGAGCTCTAGCCAAAAATTGGCTTGATAAAAAAAATCGTTTAAGGGCTGAAAAAACTTGTACACTCTTATAATTTCGAAAGCAGATGGACGATTTCAGAAATTCAATATGGCGGCGCCTGTAGATGTGATATAAGTCATCAATGTCACGATTCGACAAATACAAACATGAATAAAATTTCCAAAATTAATTAAATTGAATCAAAAAATACACTTTTAAGCATTTTTGGGGTCGCTAAATACGAATCTGAAGTCATATTTTAAAAATTCAAAATGGCGGATCCAAAATGGTGGTCGATTTTTAAAAATTTAATATTTTTCCTCGAAACTTGCTACTTGGGGGTTTTCGGGGTCGTAGAATACGAATCTGAAGTCAGATTTTAAAAATTCAAAATGGCGGATCCTAAATGGTGGTCCATTTTTGTTAAAACTCAATTTTTTTTCTCAAAACTGGTTACTCGGGGGTTTTTTGGGTCGTAGAATACGAATCTGAAGTCAGATTTAAAAAATTCAAAATGGCGGATCCAAAATGGTGGTAGTAACCAGTTTTGAAAAAAATGGAGTTTTAACAAAAATGGACCACCATTTGGGATCCGCCATTTTGAATTTTTAAAATCTGACTTCAGATTCGTATTCTACGACCCCGAAAACCCCCAAGTAGCAAGTTTCGAGGAAAAATATTAAATTTTTAAAAATCGACCACCATTTTGGATCCGCCATTTTGAATTTTTAAAAACAATTTTTTTTATCAAGCCAATTTTTGGCTAGAGCTCTGTTCCGTTTGACGTGGAACGTCCCATGTATAAATAAAAATATATGTATAATGAAATACATGATGCGATATGAAAAAAAAAAATGGTTTTACATTTAAAATGACACCGAGTTAGATCACGTGCAAATAGTTCTGAGAAATAAAAGAGAATAGTATATACAAAATGAATGAAAAAAAAAAAAGAATGAAAAATAAAAGTATAAAAAATAAGCAATGAAATATGAACACACTTAATTTAAATAGCGTTGCGGAAGGGAGAGAAGACGTCGGGTGGAGGTTTTAATATTCACTTTTGTTCGCTTCATTAGCGCTGCACAAAAGTAGCTTAAAATAATTGAGTCTCTCTCGAATAATATAATACCTATTCTGATAACCCATTGTTAAAAGCCAACTATGCGAACTTCTTCTGTTATTATTTGAATACCATCGAGTTCTTCTTTTTTTTTAGCCTTTCACTTATTTATTATTCTTTTTCTTCAAAAATATGCAACAAAATTGTTTATTAATTTCATTGTATTTTTTAAATATTATTTTTAATTTAAAATTATAATTTACTAATTGTACAAAAAGAACTTGTCACGTTGATCTTGTTAAAAAATAAAAATTTTATTAAAAAAGAAAAAAAAAAGTGAAAGTGGTAATTCATGTTCGTACAAGTACTTTATTTAATTTGTTACTTGAAACGGATGACAAGCTCGGAAAAGACAAAAGAGAAGCGACAATAAAAGTGACCCTAAAAATGTAGAACTCTCCTCATACTTTTCATTATTGCCATCAAATGAGG